CCCGCTCTTTTTGGTTCCCGTTTGTTTCTCTATAAAGCCCATACGAAGTTTCTGTAGAGTATACATTTTTTATATATTTTATTTGGTGGTTTTTTTGTATTCCTTTAAAGAAAATCAATGTTCCAGTAAATGGTAGAACTAAGATCTCAGTCTTAGCATTGGCTATCCCTCCTCCCATAATTTCCAAATATTCCGATCTCTCTTAGGTGATTCATCGAGCCTCTATGGCTGCACCCAAACTCCATCACCAACTCCATCTCTCTCCCATCGATGGCTGCTGTCGTTTGTGAACCACATTTTGCATGTTTTCATACACACGAAACCACATGTCGAGAGAGTGGGGTGGGGGGTCGGGAATGGGAGCGGAGAGGAGCGGAGAGGAGTGCAAAACCTTTAAATGCAATTACGGTTCATGTGCACGGAGCTCGTCACAAAACGCCAATGATATGCTTTCGAGTGTCTTTTGTTGTGGCTTAAATACATAACCAGGGTAGGTAGCTCCCGGCCCACTCCCCCAGCCCTTCTGCCCATTCAGCGCGCCAAAAAAAGCTGTGACGAAGCTTGCCATTCGTCGAATCGGGTGGTGTGTGTGTGTGTGTGTGTGTGCGTGTGTGTGTGCCCTTGTGGCATATGCATCGCTCCACAATCGCATCATTTTGAGCAATTAAGTGTGTATTATCCGTTGCCGTGGCCACTGTCAAAGGGCCTTGAAAGCAACTTCAAAAACCCGAACCAGGCGACCCATCAGAGAGAGGTCCTGGCCTGCCCCTGCCCCTGCCACCGGAAGTACATTGAATATATGTATGTACCCATGTATATGTGTGTACATATGCATCTGGTTGAGTGCGTGTGGCATGTAGTGCCCACCTCCCTCTCCTTGCGTGCTTTTCAGCCGCAAATTGTGCATTTATGTCGACAATGGCGGGCCATCAACAAAGCATCGGGATGGGCCACAGAATGGGATATAGGATATGCCATGTACTCGCTCATGGGATGCACTGAGTCGCCGAGTCCTCACGGCTTGTATTGTGATGCCTACTTTTACTTTTGTTCCGCCATGTTGGTCCTCCTGCCAGGAGGCTGGCTAGAGGCGTACTGCTGTCAAGTCTATGGCGAGAGTAGGACCCCTCCGGGGGTTGACCCCGCAAGCGGAGATGGCGGGGAGTCGGGAGTGCTACTGTACTGCTGCATATCGCTGCAATTTACTTCTTGAGGGTCCCAAGGGAAAAGTCTGAGAAAAACTCTGATTACGGGGGAGATGCTCTTCATCTGAATTCGAGAAAGAAGTAGGTAGATATATGGAGGATATATGTATATGGAGGATACTAATAGCCAAACGAGTCTTTTTTTTTATTTTTCAGGTATATATTTTTGCTGGGTAAACTTTTAAGACACATTTCAAACTTCTTCTTGGCTTTGGCCCCAATGATTTCTCCTTCACTTTATGGCCCTGTCCCTTGGGCTGTCACAAACAAGTGCGGCTAGCCAGTGCCACGCCCACCAGAAGCCAAGTGTTACCCCCACTCCCCCAATGTCTTCTGGCCGCTGTCGCTGGCCAATTTAAAATTCAATTTAATTTCAATTGATATTGGAAAATCTTTTCAGCGCCACTTCCTAGACGTCCTGCCATGTAGGAATCCTCTCACACGCAGCGGGGAAGCCCCATTAACAGTGGAGAGTTGGGAACGGACCCTCGACTTTGTGGTTGCCAAATGGCGACACCACTCGGCGGAAAGGTGGGAAAACTCAAAAGCAATTACATAACAGATTTCCTTACTTTTTCCTTGCCCTGGCACTCAAAGAGCAAGAAACTTTGTGGACAAATGGAATGCGGGGGCTTCTGAAACCAGACAGAGAATCCCAAGAACAATAAATTATGCACAGGACATGAAAGACAGCAACCTGAACAGCAACCATAACAACACCACTTTGGATGCTGGATGGGAACAAACCGAAGCCGAATCCGAATCCGAATCGCAACCCTCCTGCGATAACACTAATTGCCCCGAAGGGCAAGGCTGGCAAGGTTGGTCCTGTCCTGAAAATGTCCTCGGGCAGCAGATTGTTTTCCCCGCAGATCCGCAAGTGTTTTCTTAGCAACGTCGTTACCCCAGCCGGGGGGCCAGACACTCGACCAGATTTCCTACACGTTCCGGCAATCTCATAAATAAAAGCAAAATTTCATTAAGACAAATTATTGTCTATCAATATGTTGCCACGCACACAACCTGATGAACGATGGGAGAGAAGCCTCGAACTCTCGAAATGTTGCTCATTTGCTGGGCTGTTGTGGGCCCTTCACCCTGCCCACCCCCCTCACCGATGGATTCGTATTTGTATGTTGATGTAATAATATTTGCGGCTCATAATTGCATAAATTTTTAAAGCGAAACGCGTTCCCGGGCCGGGCCTTGTGCCTTGTGCAACCTGCTGCAATCCCTCGCATTGTTCTCTGCCCTTCAGTTCCGTTCCGTTCAGTTTAGTTGAGGTTGCGGTTCAGTTTGGTTTGGTTTTGGGTTAAATACGTAGAAATTAAATTAAATATGCCCGCGGTTAAATGTGCTGGCAGGTACACAAAAGGATTCCCAGACTAGGCCTAGGCTTTAAATCCAATTAGGATGTTCCATCGGTGGACGTGCCCCCGCAGGTGCTAAGTATGTGTGTTTTCAAGGCGCGTGCTTAGGGTCCCAGGTCGCCGGTCTCCGGTCCTGGGAAAGGAAATCGTAGGCTAGATAGAAAGACTTCTCTCTCAACCTAAATGTTATGAGCGCATAAATTAACATTTTTCCAACTATGCGGCTGTCAGAGAGTTCATCGATTTTCTCGCTTCGAAATCGAAGAAATTTCTCCCCCCCCCCCCACACCCCACACCCAGAACTTCTTCGGGAATAGAACAAATCGAGTGTGAAATTCGATAAGTGGCATTGTCTGAGAGCGGAGCCCGAACACGAACTTCCACTTCGGTGTCGATGGCGGCGGCAGAGTCTCTTGTGTTTATGGACCCCGGACCACGGACCCCGGGCACCGGGACCCCAAAAACGAAATAAGAAAACTATTACGCAAGAATTATGAATCGCGCTTCAGTTTATGTGACTTTTACGATGGCAATTGAAATTTGTTTCTTGTTCTCATAAAACGAAAGTCCCTAAAGTTTTGATTCATGTGCCTTAAGTGGCTGTGGAGGACAGTTTTTCGGAGCCCCTGCACTTGACACTCGCTTGGGTGTGGTCTCTATTATAATTATAATTATAAGTATTTTGTAAATATTCGATGAGTATGCGGATGAGTATGCGATGACTATGGGATTATTGGAAGATTTTTCTGTACATATTTATTTGGTGTTTTATCCTAGGGCTACAAGATATAATATTTACTATAACATTTCGTGATAGATTTATTTTATTTTATATTTTAGTAGTTCTAGGAATGCCTCACCCTTTTATGAACTTCACTTGGAACGAGAGCACTCATTCCTTTTTTATTCTCTTCTTCACTGCATCCCACTGCTACTCCCGAGTAATGGGAGCGGGAAAGGGACAAAACTTGACGAATTTTCAAGCACACACACACACGCACATAGCTGGAGCTCACGTGATGAAACGAAAAAAAGAAGCACCACAACGCATTTTAGATTTTGGCACATGAAAAAAGAAGAAATTTTGCAAATACAATATATTTATCTATTTATGCATATGTATATTAAACATTGCACATAAATATTAGCCACTGCCGCACTTTTTCTTCACCGAGCTGCATTTTTGTGGTCATTTCGCCTCATTCTCCGCCACCGACCTTGATTAAAATCATTTGTTTGCCTTAAAACACATTTTTTTATACATTTATATCTAATAACTATACCAAACTTCACTAGACACCGGCGCAACATTTGACCCGTTGAATTTTTTACCATTTTTCGTATTTTCAGGGAATAAAACGCGGAGCTGACTGGCGACGCACGCTTTGACCGGTGAACAAATTTGAGTGAGAACGGTGCAAATGCGTTCACTCTTTGATCTCCTGCTCCTCTTCCTATTCGCTCTCCCTCCCACGCTCTATTCGTGGAATTTCATCTTGCTCCTTGTCTTCTTACTCTGCTACTGCAAAGAGAGATCAAAAGTGAGTGGGAGTAGGAGTGAGATGGAGTGACTGGTGGGAGAGTTACAGTGCGCGGTGTAGGTGCAGCGCATGGTAAAATTACTTAATTTAATTAAATTAATTGATCTCTCTTTTTAGAAGCAGGAGGAGAAGACAAGGAGCAGACATAAGCGTTTAGCAAAAGAAGCTCAACAGAGTGAGTGGGAGAGAGAGCAATTAGGAAGAGGCGAAGGAGGAGGAGAGCATAGAATGAACGCATTGGTGCCGCTCTCACTTACATTTTTTCACCGGTCAAAGCGTGCGTTCGCAAGTCAGCTCCGCGCTTCAATCCGGAAAAATCCGGAAAATGGTGTAAAATTCGATGGGTAAAATGTCGCGCGGGAGTGTAGTGCAGTTTAGTATAGTTATTAGATATAAATGTACAAAAAAAAGTGTTTTATTGCAAGAAAATGTGTTGAAGCAAGAGCGGAGGCGCAGAAAGAGGCTAAATGGCGGCAAAAAAGCAGCTCGACGAAGGAAAAGTGCGGCAGTGGTTAATATTTATGTTCAATGTTTGATATATGTATGCATAAGTACATAAACATAATATTTTTGCATCATTTCTTTTTTTTCATGTGACAAAATCTAAAATGTGTTGTTGTTGCGTTATGGTGCTTAATTTTTTTCGTTTCATCACGTGAGTTCCAGCTACATATGTGCGTGTGTGTGTGTGTGTCTGCTTGAAATTCGTCAAGTTTTGTCCCTTTCCCACTCCCATTACTCGGGAGTAGCAGTGGGATGCAGTGAAGAAGAGAATCGAAAAGAAGAGAGTGCTCTTGTTCCAAGTGAAGTTCATAAAAGGGTGAGGCATTCCCAGAACTCCTGATCTGACTCTATCTTGTCTAGTGTGTTTACACGAACTTTCGCCCTCTTGTGCCTCACCTCATATTAATAAAATGCCTAAATTGTGTGCTCTTATTGAAAATCATTTTGTGCGGTTTCGGCGTGGTTTTTGTCGTAACTTCGAAACTCTCTTTATCAGAATCGTTAGAATCGGACAAGATTATGGGTAAGTGAGAAAAGAGACGAAAGAAATTATGTTGTTCTTTACCATTTATACCTTTATTTTTTTACCAATGATTTTCGAATTGTAACTTCCTTCAGGGTCTCGAACTCGGTCCCTCCCATTTCTGTCTATGCCTGCGATTAGTTGAAAAACATTCCAAATTGTTTCCTAGAATTAGCAGATCATCACTTCCATCATCATTCCAATTATCATCAGCAGACTAATGCCTAATGGACAAACATTTTGATTTCTGAAATCATAGATATAATAATTTCAAGATATTAGCACTAATTTAGGGGAATTTCCCTTTCGGCTGGTCCCCCCCCAGTCCTGCGAAAGAATGATTTACATGAAATAACCATTTTCCCACTTGACTTATGACTGCCACGCGGGCACATGGGGCACTCACCCACCACCACCGCCAGCTAAATCGCTACTAAGTATTATGCTATATAGATTATATGGTCAGCTACGCACACACACAGAGTCCGACGATAGAGTAGAGCACCACTAAAGACACTAAGCACGACAAAAAGACATTAAACACGACAACGAAATAAAAAAAACATTGAAGTTTCTTATCAGCATTTCCGCTTTTCGTGACCAATGTCTTGGAGTGTGCACACTCACACACACACATAATACTATATATACGAAATAGTTACTATATATCTTTATGGCAGTGTGTGTGTGTGTGGTATGTGCTCTTGGAGTATCAGTTTCGGCACACTCTTCGAGATCTCAGATGGCATGCAAAGGTTATAGAAATGGAAAAGTCAAAAGCTCAACCCCCTACCTGGTCCCTGGTTAGACTTAATTTCTGGACATGCTTTTGGGGCCGCCACACTGGTTATCCTTCATTATTCATAAATATGCAAATGCCTTGGCTTGGCTCGGCTTGGCTTGGTAATAAATTCTTGATGCATGGCCAAAGGCTTCGGGTCAATCTTGAGCATGAGCGTGAGCTTCAGCAGCAGCAATTTGGGGCAAGAGTGGTGTTGGGTGTTGGGTGTTGGTTGTTGGGTGGTTGCTGTTGCATGGTAATCGGCCAGGCATGTTTAGCACTCAATCTGAGGTTACTCCCAGGCTATGTGGCGGTGGCGACGGCGGTGGCTCCTTGGAATTGGTGGCATATGCCACATTACCTCCGAAACAAATTAAATGGTTTCGCATTTGGATGAGAAACTCAACTCAACTCAAGTCAGAGCGCTCTCTGGTTCTGGTTCTGCTCCGTTTCAGTTCTGTTCAGTTTGGTCCTCTTTCGGGACTCGTTAGGGGCGGTTGCATGTGGTGGGCGTTGCCACACACACACATATGTTCATTCAATTGTGTGCGTAATCTGTGGAAACCACACACATGCACACGCCACAGGACAAGGACGACGAAGAGGAGAGATATGGCAGGACAGAGATGCGGGCGTGACTCACGAGTGGGAATGAATGACCCGAAATGATTGATTTTTATGGGATATTTTCAAGATTATTCATAGGGAGTAATGCGACTGGGAATCTCCTGAGGGGCTATAAAGATTGCTTCTTCCTTCTGTTTTTCTATCAATAAATATTCTATCTATCATTCCATCCCTCTTACCCAGGTCTTCCCTCGTGATGTCTGGGACTTTTCCAGCAGTCACACTGCTCACGACACTCACGCGCTCATCGCTTTCGAAGCAAACGATGCCTTGGGAAATTCTTGTCGAAGCCAGCGCCGAGCGCTTCCCAGGATGATTGTCCTCTGGTCTGGACTTGGATTTAAAACAACATAAATCATACATTTTTTTTGCACTAGCAAAAGGGATAGCACACACCCCAACCCCCCCCGCACACCGCACACCGCACACCGCACACCCACTCCTGCCCCCACCCACCTTCCAGGCAGACTGTGTATAATGCGCACAATCGCAGGCAGGACACGAAATCGGAAGGAAAGGAAGTCCTAATGTGTGTGTGAGTGTGTGGTGGGTGGGGGGGAGCTAGGGGGGGAGAGAAATGTTTGCGCAGCACAAAAATGAATTTTCTTTTCTTTGGGGGACCCGCTGCTCGTGTCCTGCCCGTTGAACCTTTGTCTGGCAGCAGGACATTCATCGCTATCGTTACATCGTCCTGCCACTGACTCCGTCTCCGACTCCGTCTCCGTCTCCGACTCCAACTGCGACTCTCGGAGTTCGTCTTGGACTTGAGCTCGAGCTTGAGTTGGCTGAGCAAACAAGCGTATAAATTGAGTTATAATTTGTTTCAGGACCGTGCCCGTGCCCGAGCCCGTGCTCCCTTTGTGCCGGCTCCCGGAAGTTGGCTTCTCCGTTATTTAAATGAATCCTATCCTCCCTGGTAGTCCTTTGGCAGTCCTCTCGCCTCTGATAAGAGTACTCGGGGCCCTGAGACATGTGGCAATTGGTTGTCCTTTCTGGTCGTTTGGTTTTCGGGTTTTCCATTTGCCACAATCATTTCCAGCATATTTGCTACGGTTTGCAGTAGGAGTTCTCCATGGAAAGGGATATGGTTTTGAAGTAAAAGGAAAACATTATTACATTGTGGGTTCCCGGAGAGAGAAACGGATGTGTGGCTTGCTTTTGATTGTGCAGATGATTGCAGAGCCCAGGAGGCAGGAAGAGAGGAGTTCCAATGATGATTGAAGGCATTCCTGGGCTCATAATGTGCTTTTGATTATAGAGAGTTGATTCCCCCCTCCCCGAAGTTTCCTCTAATTACCACCTAAGGACTCGCCAAGGACTTCCTGCACTTAGACCCCCTTCCACGGGACTTGCTTCAAATGTTGCAAAATTTGTGCCTTTGCTTGTTAACAAAATATTGTTTTTAAGAATTAATCCGACCAGAACTAATACATTTTAATTAAGCCAATTTGCAGGCCCTAGGACAAGGGACAGAGAAGCAACCAAGCGGGCAACTGGAGGACCAACCAGCAGCTCTATCACCGCTCCAAAAGCCACTTAGGGCAGCAGCCGCCACCCACCAACCGCCCCACCGCCCCCTGCCCACGATTAACATGCGTACAATAAAATTGTGATTTCTTGCACATACAATTCGAGAGTTTTTATTTTTTATTTTTTATTTTCCATGTACCTTTTCATCGTCGTTTTTTTTCTGCATTTTTAATGCTTGAAATGGCAAAATGGTACAACGGTAAAATGGCAGTTTACGCTCGTTTCACATTTTGTCCGCTGCCGCTGCCGCAGCCACCGCCTGGCTTGCCACATTGAGTGGCATACTCGAGCATGTCTTTACATCTCTTTACGCTTGGCTATGGCCCCGGCAGCAAGCGGGGAGAGGCGGCGCCGGGGGGGTTTTCACTGGTAAAATGGCTGCCACAGATATGCATGAAATATCATTATCATAGAGTGTCCAACACATGAGGAATTGTGGATTAATGTCACAATTCAATTTACGAGTATTTCTGGCCTCTGATAAAACTGCCATTCAAAGATAGCCCACAGACAAAGCCGAAGAGCAGGGCCGGAGTAGGGCCGGAGTAGGGACGGAGCAGGGCCGGAGTAGGGCCGGAGTAGGGCCGGAGTAGGGCCGGAGTAGGGCCCTTCTGCCTTCGCACACAGACACATTGTATCTTTCGGTTTGTGGTTCTTCTGGTTTCCGTATTCTTAGGCATTTATCAGCATTTATCCATCCCTCAACATCTCCCACGAATAAACAAACAAACAAACAAACACTTAAACATCTTAAACTTTTGTTTTCTCAACTCTGCCCGTCCCTCTCTCTCTCTCTCTCTCTCTCTCTCTCTCTCCCCCTTGTATCGCCTTGTATCTGTTGTATGTATCTTTTTTTATGCACCCGCATGGATCTGTTGGATCTGGCCTGAAAATCGATCTCAAGTCGCAGCCAGAAAAAGCGAAAAAATGCGCAAAAGTCACGTAGTCAGCGAAACAGACAAACCCAAGCCCATAATGTGCACCATATAGACAACGATTTGCGAGAATATATCAGAGCAGAAGTGGTGGGGGAGGGAGGGGGGTGTGGCAGGGTCTGGCAGAGAGACCCTCGACTGCACGTGGCATTGATCTGTGGCCCCTTTGGGAGGAGGTGGGTGCTGTAAGTCGAAGAAATATACACACTTTGGGATACACTGAGAGGAATTTGTGAGGAGAGGCTTTATATGGATCGAATGAAACATTGGAGAAGGTTGAACGGGGCTAAAATTGAATACCTCTCAAGTCCACTCGCTTCTCCTCTCTTCTGACACTCCTCTTTCTCTCAGTGTAGGCCCAACACAACCCCAAATGGGCAATTAAAGTGTCACAAGTTCGGGACATGCAATATTTCATGACGCAATGCCTAAGATTATGAATATAAATGCAAATTAGTCTTGGGCTCAGAGTGCCCGTTCCACTCCACCTTCCCCCACCGAAAGGACCTCCTCTGCCACCTGTCTGTTGTGGTCAGCGGTTGGAGAGGGACACTCGACGGTAGGGGGGGGGGGAGAGGGGTTGAGAAATCGGGAGCGTGACAATCATTAAAAGTCAACCAACGGCGACGACGACAACGTGGAAACGTCCAACGTTGAACAATCACTGAAAATGACTAACGGTAACCACGATAGCTTACATCCGGACCAAAAGTCCTGGCCACCACACACACACACACACACACACCCATACCCATACCCATACCAAAAGAGAATAAAAAATCAACCAAGAAAAGCTCTTTCGGTGGAAGGCCCCGTGCACGTTGAAAGAAAATTACGCTCTTATCTCGCTTCCTGTCGTGACACAATTTTCTATCATAGTAGAAGCCACTCGAGTCCTCGACTTCTCGATTCCTCGACTCCTCGACTCCTGATGGTGTTGTTGGGCCCTGTGGCAAATACATAAAGTTATTATTGCCTTTACTGTACTTTTTCGGTGGGGGATTGTGGTGGGGGGGTGCGGGTCTGGAGGTAACCCTTGATAAATGTGCCACGCTCACGTTTTGCCAGCTCTGAGCTCGGGAGCAGCGACTAACGTCATAATTTTAGTCATGAATTGATTTTCAAGA